GACCAAACATTGCCGGTTGGACAAATGTTTAATTCACTGAAGATTGTTGCTGTTAGGTATTTCACTCATTTAACTTTTCTTAGCTCTTATAATCACTCCATCATATTGTGAGAATGATTTTTTCTGGCACACTGATTTAGCTTTGTAATTTTCAATGAGCAACTTGAATCCTTTTTGGATAAATCATTTCTATAGAAAGATGTACACGTGTGAATATATTCATGAATTTACTTTTAAAGCAAGTGAGTTTTTTGTCTTAGCACTTCAAAACTGGAAACATCAAATTTGGCTTTCTTGCTGTAAGGGTCTATTTAATCAACCAGAACTTTTGCTTCTAATTATTAGTTATTTTCCATATCTTNTTTTGTCTAAGCACTTCAATACTGGAAACATCAAATTTGGCTTTCTTGCTGTGAGGGTCTACTTAATCAACCAGAACTTTTGCTTCAAATTATTTGTTATTTTCCATATCTTCCATATTTTCCATATTCTATTACTACTTTTGTTGAAAGAGAATAAGTTCAACTTGAAAGGAATTGTTGTAAGTTTCCTAATCTTAAAAAAACTTATTTGCATTCAAATGCGTAACTTCAACGATCTGCTGCTATAACTTAAATTCCTAAGGCAATAATTTTCTATTGTACGGTTATCTTCATCACCAAGAGTCCTGAGGTAATTTTTTTTACTCTCAATCGTGTACGCTCACACACGTATACGGTAATATTATAATTATAGTGTTTGTGGAGAAAATAAGGTGAAGAAGCCTCGATTCGGTTTAGACCTATGGAGTAGTATAGAATTGAAACACTGGTAATATTTCATATTTGCTTTCATGAAGGGTAATCTTATTTTATAAAGAAACTTTTCTATTTGTAGATTTTTGGATAATTTTAGCTGCCAATTTTAGGTGTTTGTTATGTCAATTTTTTGTTGCTTTTTTTTTTCTTTTATTGTTTATAGTGGAATGTTTCATTTTGGTAACAACGTTGTCTTTAATTCCAGTAAAACGTGTGGTATATGTACAGGCAATTAAAATTAACCTTAACTTAGTGTGGTTGCAGAAGATTACATTTCTTTGGACTTTCTAGTAGATATGGTGGTGGCTCGAATTAAGTGATGGAAAATAATTCACTAAGCTGACCTAAATTTATGGGAAATGAGACATAGATGTTGTTCTTTACATATTTAGGCTCTAATGTGTTTTCCCCCATCTCTTCTCTCTCTCCGCTCTCTCGTCCTATGTGTATGTGTGTCCATTTGTTTTACAGATAATATTTTTTTTGGATATTGTTGTCGTCCCTTTTACAGATAATATTCAATAAGCTAATGGGTTCACATAAACAATTTTTTTAAAAAATTTTATTAAAATCAATAAATTAAGTACTAAGTTAATTATTTTTATTTATGAGTTTCTGTCTTTTTTCCAGTTTAAGAAGATAGTAGGAGCTTCTCAATGCATGTACAGTTGGTGCTTAATAGAATCCACATTTATCCCATCACAAAACTCATAAATAGTTCTAATGAATGATAATTTTTCATGTTC